GGTTGAAGATGAAGGTTGAAGACGAAGGTTGAAGAAAACCGTTGATAGAGATGCAGTTGAAGGCAAACGTAGCATTAGATAAGTTGGCACGAGTTTTGGAGAGAGAAAGCTATCGTGACTTTTTGGATAGGGAGCTGTTGAAGAGAGAGAGAGAGAGAGAGAGAGAGAGAGAGAGAGAGAGAGAGAGAGAGAGAGAGAGAGAGAGAGAGAGAGAGAGAGAGAGAGATCATAGTTACCATGTTTGGTTTTGATAAACAATGTGTTTTGCCACATATACATGAAAATGAACAACACACACACACACACACATATAAATATAATAAAACATCTTAGGACAAATTTTCAAAAGAGACCTTTTTGATTTTTTATTTGTAAAAAACAACCCATTTTCAAAATATTTGTAAAAACCGACTTGGTTTCAGCCTCAGCGCTGAAACCAGGTCGGTTTTTGAAAAAAAAGTTTCCGAAACTTCACGGGAGTTGAACTCCCGTGAAGTTTTGCTAAACTTCACGGGAGTTAAACTCCCGTGAAGTTTAACAGCTTAATTAAAAGCTGCTAAACTTCACAGGAGTTCAACTCCCGTGAAGTTTCAAAAACTTTTTTTCAAAAACCGACCTGGTTTCAGCGCTGAGGCTGAAACCAGGTCGGTTTTTGCAAATATCCTAGAAACAAGTCGTTTTTTGCAAATAAAAGCTGAAATGGGACGGTTTTGAAAATTTGTCCAAACATCTTATGCAACTGAACATATCACCAAACATTCAAAAGCCCTCCAAATTAGAAAATTAAACAACATTGTAAGCTCCATAAGCAATTCATCCATTGCTAAACAATTAGCATGCACAAAAAACTGGGCATACAACTTCACACCCAAGTGTTTCCTGGAAATAAAACTGGGCATACAACTCCATAAGCAATTCATAAGCTAAGTTTGAAGTTAATGATGAGTGAAAAAACCACAAATTTCAATAACTGCGTTCCATAAAAAATCCACAACCGATAGTATCTTTATACAACCCATCCAATGCAAGAGACACACAAAGGCAAAAGCATGACAATATGAATAAAGAAAAAAAAGCAGAAGATCACAACCCCATTCCCACCAACGGCCGAGGTCGCGTCCGGTGTCGCGGGACGGCGTTGGCCGTCGTCCCGTCGGCGGACTGACGTGATGGGCCGGCCTAGCGGACGTGGCGGAGCTCGATGGCCGTGGCGTCGTCATGCGTGGCGGCACCGCGAGGCGTCGGTGTTTTCGTGCGCGGCGTGGCGTCCGGTGGCCGGCCGCCGACGAAGCGGCGGGTTGCCTAGCGGTGTTGGTGTTGGCTGTCGTGGCGTCATGAGTTGAGGCTGAAAATCTTTGGGCGAAGGAGGTCCGTAGAGGCTTCGGGGTAAGAGAGGGTTTGGCGGGTGTTGTAGGGTAGATTGGGGAAGAGAGAGATGGGGATCTGAGCTTTTGTGCGTGCGAGAGAGAGTTGGTCAGGATCTGATTTATTTGGCATCTAGGATTTGGCTTGTCACGGGGGGTTTTTACACCGAGCATTGCAAGGAGAGATTTTCCCCTAGAAATCGCCTAGCCTTTTTCAAAAAAAACCCTACTGAGAAGCGCACAGTTGCTTTCCGGAAGCGCTAAATGCGTTACGCCACTTATGCGTAACTGCAAGACGTGCTGTATATTATATTGATTATATATATATATTAGTTATATATATATAGTGATTATATATATATTATATACTATAGTAGTATATAATTGTTTTAGTCTCATTAACTAGAATACACTATTTTTACATTATAATCCATGAATACTAATATATAGTTATATATATATACTATATATATATACTATATATATAATATTATATATAGAATACACTATATTATATTATAGTATATATATTATATATATATATCAATATATATATATATATATATATAATACTAGTATATATAGTATATTACTATAATATATATATATATATATTTCATGATTATATGTAAAAATAGTGTATTCTAGTTAATAGACTTAACAATCATAATATACATCTTCTATTAAGTCTATAAAATCAGTTTATGAAGTTTCAAAACATGGTGTAGTCAAAATGTCAAAACAAGTATGTTTTCATTTTTATGTTTTGGACTATTTTGTAAAATGAAGAGATTTCTCATTTTGGAGGTGTTTTTTTAAAACCAGTTTTTATAGCATGTTTATTATCACGTCTACAATTATTTTCCAAAGTTTTACATTTTTTCTGATTTTATTTGCTATTTTTAAAAGTTGTTTGAAAATCAAATTTTTGTTTTAAAACAGGCTGATAACCTGTTATTAGTCGACTGGTAAGTCGACTGATGACATCAATCGACTGATGTGTCCACTGAAGAAAACGTCTGAAATAACAAAAAGTTTTTGTTTTGTTTTGGTCGACTGGCCAGTCGACTGATGAGGTCATCAGTCGACTGATAAGGTCGTCAGTCGACTGATGAGCTGGAAAATGCCTCTAACGGTCAGCTCATCAGTCGACTGGTAAAAGCCGTCAGTCGACTGATGCTGTAACGGCTATTTTTTTCCAGCCTGTTCCAGTTTTGGATTTTTGGTCTTTTTGCCTTGTTTTCTCTTGGCTTTGATGTTCCTATAAATACCCCCACATATCCTTAGTTTTATTTACTGAAGAGAAATATTTTAAACAAGTTTAAGAGTGTTTTAATAAGAGGTTGAGTTTTGGTTTAAGTTTGTTTAAAAAGCTTTTAAGTATTTGAGAATTTGTTTTGTAGAAACAATTTCACTAGAGCTTGAGGAAGATCATCCATTGGTGTTTGAGCATCCAACTTTTCTCCCTCTCTCTTGATCTTTAGAGAAGTTTTTCTTAAACTTAATTCTAGCATTTTTATATGTTTGATCTTAATTTCATAAGCTAGATTTCATATTGAGTTTAATTGTTTCTATTGAATCTCTTTGTTCACACACAACCTATTGAGCTTATTGTATTTGAATTCATAATATAATTTGGGGTTGTGGGTTTGTGACATTGAGAGTGAGCTTAATTGTGTTCTCATCTATTATAGAGAACAAATTTATATTTGTGAGCCTAATTGTGAGTTGCATATTGTATTACACTTGGACACCGAGAGATGTTGTTGGTGAGAGACGGGTCGGTTCCAAGAGGAGTGGGGTCGGTAGTAAAGCCTAGTGACAGGTGGTAATTCTAAATACTTGAGGAAGGTGACACGGGCTAGGCCAACACTTAGAGGGTGTGAAGTGTGATTGCAAGTGTGTAGTTGTAAAGTTTTCGGTGAACTAGAAAACCGTATTATGAGATGTAAACATTATTCGGGTGAGCGTAGAAAACCTGGTTGTGATAGTGGAGATCTCTTCGAGGTGAGGAGCAGAAACATAGGTCGTGGGGACCGAACTCTGTGATCATATCTTTTATTTGTGATTGCATTGTCGTACTTATTCTTGTATTCATATTTTATATCGTCTTTGTGTATTACTCTTCATTTTGCCCTATCACATTTGTAGATTATTTATTTCACCCTTGTATTAGTTTATATATCATTGCATATAATTCATCATATATCTCTTTGCTAGGATATATCTCTTTGCTCATATTGCTTATTCTTGCTCGTAACACATTGTACATCTATCTTGTAAGAATAGTTTGTTGAATTAGTTTTAATTGGCATAAAATCATATTAGATTAGCATAAGATCCTAATCACCCCCATTTAGGGTCTAACAATATTTTCTTTAAAGTAAAAAAAAATTCAGTTTCTAACTAACATATATTTTTCAGATTTCTCACTGAATTGAAATAAGTAAAATTTATAATTTTTAAGATATTTTAATAAAATTTTGAATTAGTCAGGGTGTTTTTGCAATTTAAAAAACTTAGAGGATTTTTTTATACAAAGTCTAAAACTTTTAGGTGCTGGCTAGCATATGTTTTTTTGGAGTTCTCTGCGAACTGAAATAATAAAAGATTTGAATTATATCAAACATATCTCCTTTATCCAATAACATGTTAAGTCGGATATATTATTTAATTACCAATTCAAAGAAGATAGGATAACTGGAACAAATTAAGATAATAATATAATATTAAAAAAAATAAGAGTAATATTGATCATGGAAAGATTTTTCCGAACTCGTATTTTTAAAGAGAGCATATGATTTATAGTAGATAACAAAATTTCTATTAATAAACGAGAGGGAAATTAAAAATATTAATTCTAACTTTAAATGTTACTTAGAAATCACAAAAGAATAAACCCCCCACCCCCACCATCATATACTGGCGAAGAGGTTGGCATGATGCTTATCGTAGATATAACGTCGCAAATGTCAGTGGTCAAGATGTGGATCTAAGTAGCAAATGCAATGTTTACGAGCTATTGATGGAGTTTAAATTACTGGAGTTTAAATTACAAAGTGCAACTAACACTCAATAGGAGTCCAAAAAGTCTGACAGCTCAAAACAAACAGTTATAGATACAATTCCAGCTACAAATTGCTTAAAACTGGACCAAGGTGCTTCAACAAAAACTCCATCAAGAGCAATTACAGCTGTTGGAACCGCTGTCATTCGCGCTTACATTGTAACTAGTGTGCACCCAGTGCAAAGAACGGTCTTCATTTTATTATTTCCGATTCAACAATTTTGTATTTAAATACAGTTTGGTAAATACTACAGTATATTTTTTCTGCTACAGTGTCCCACCTGAGAATAATGCTACAGTAATATTTTGCTCATGCAGTTTTCGTTTGTTCTACAATAATAGTGCTACAGCAATTTTATTGTAGCATGAATAGTAAATCTTGGATCCTCCTGTCTGTGTTGCGGTAATACTACTACAGCAATTTACTGTAGTATTTACCGTACCATGAATAATGAATCTTAGATCCTCTCATTATTATAGAGGAATAGCATTTACTATAACATGAATAGTGAATCTTTGGATCCTCCCATTATTATAGAGGAACAGATTAAAAATAGGAATAGGAATTGATGGCCGTTCATCTTTTAGATTACTATGGTATGTACGTCCTTCATTTGAGCGGGAAGTAATACAAATAGTTGGTAAATACAACTGTAAGCTTGAATGTTGGAAAGAATGACAGATTGAATATTGATCAAAGAGAACTGTCTAAAGAATAAATGAAACGCTGTGTTATTATACAAGCTACTATACAATTGCAAACTATGACATAATCAGTGCACTGCTTGGGTGAAGATGTCACAAGATGGTTCCTAACAACCAGAGGTGCAAGAATATCCAATAGGCTATCAGCCCTAACCTTGCCGTAGGTCTGTTCATCAAACTTCGCCCTCCAGAAACCCTGAAAGAGAAAAACAGGCAGCGCAGTTGAGGGATCCTGCTGGTCTGAATCAAACTTAAATCTATTTATATTTGCAGATGGCAAAAGAAAAAGGGTAAACTTCCAAAATCCCGCGAATTTTGTGAAACATTGAAAACCGTGGTGAATTTGTCTCACATAACCACCTGACCGCAGTTACTTTAAGTTGACGCGTGCAGATGCATGATTTTTGAATAATTTTACTCTTTATCTACTGAATACAACTTCTATATTATCCTTTTCTGATGAGGGTGGGTGAAAAGTTAAAAATGATTTAAAACTTTTTAGTCGACCAGTAACCAGTTAACAGTGGTGAATCCAAAAAAAAAATCTTGGGAGAGGACAATGAGGTAGAGGAGGTCAGGGCGGAAGCGACGCCTCCAGGGGGCAGTCTAGGAGGCACGAATGCGCGTAGAGATTTTACAGAGATGGAGAACAAAGTTAGAGTTTGATTATTTGCGTCTTCAAAATTGATTTCGGTCAAATAAGAGGGAGGGAGAGATTTTCCCCTAGTATGGCTGGTTTTGGATTTATAGTGTTTGGGCCCATTGACCTAAAACTTAAATGAGTTTCTAATTTCTAATGATTAGCCCTTAAATTGCATGGGTATGGGTGTAGGTATGATGCTGATATGGGCCACGACAAATTCGTAAAAGATACCGTAAGGAGACATGGCTGAAACTCATGGGATATAATCATAGTTCTGAGCTATACATCAACTACCCTTCCAAATCGTAGCTCTTAAGGCTAAAACGAACCTGATCCTTATCCCACAAGTTACAAAAATAGATGGGAATTGTAGGATATATATCCAAAAAGTCTATGACAAATGTTTTAAATTAAACTTCCAAGGAGTGTCGGGTACAGGTACAGAGACGACACGTGTTGGGCATGGGTACGACTCCATATTGGAAGTACCCATGTAGCATAGGGCTAATGCAAATGACTACTAATTGCTTTAGCGGTTCGAGATAAATTGGGGTGCAATTTTTTAAATTCACGGGGGCAAATTGTAAACCTAAAGAAGTTTTAGTGCTATTTGGAAAATATTTAGGGGTGCAACTGCACCCCTAGATGTCTATATCAATCTGCCCCTGCCAGTTAACATCGCTTATGAGAATTTCCAATGATTCAGGGGCGTTTAGTATAATTTTGTCTATGATTTACAAAGTTCAAGGAAGTTTTGAGCAAAATTCCCCAAAGTTGAAGTGGGGAAGTTTACCTAGAGAAAACTTTAATTGTAATTGATAATAGGATCATAATGCAAACTGAGTGGAGCATTGTTGTTTTTCAAGGAGGATTTGAGCTAAAATCCTATTGTGCATGTCTAACTTGGAAAATTTATGTTCTCATTTTGAGACCTTATTTTTTCAAAGAAAAATGCTAGCCACATGCGCCTGTGGCTAGACCCCCTCTTTTTCAGATACAAACATTGTCAAGCACTCAGTACTTGCCAATTTTAGTCAAACAAGTAGACGAAAATCAAGATGTCGCCTGGGCTTATATCTGATTAAGTCTTACAGGGAAAAAAATTTTTGGTAAGAGTTTCATATCCCCAAGATCAGTCTGAAACGAGAATGCAAACTAAAATTTGAAGTTTTAGTGCTTAGCATCTGGATTGCAATATAAGGTTTATCATAAAGGCGATCTTTGATTGAGCTAAGAAAATATAAATGAATTTAGTTAAACCAGAACATCAAAGGATATTAAAAGAATCTTAACATGACATGAGTAAGCAGCTTACCAAATACCATCCACCTTATCTGCAATCATCTTTCCCTGCTTTGGAATGAGACCAGATGCATTCAGAGACTTAAAAACATGACCTGACGGTTTACGTGTAGAATCATATTCGTTAAGAAGAAAACCTGAGAAGGGAACTAACCTTTATCATCACTTTCTTGTGCAGAAATTAACGGATCTGACTCTGAACCAATATTAAGAACAAGATGGTCAGTTGACCCTTTCCTTAGAGTCCTCGCATGAGCAACAGGTGGAGATATTGAATTCTTTGCTAAAGGCCCCTGCATATCACGCATCAAAGGTCAGCATTTTTGTGTTTATTGTTGGAAATCTACAGATTTAGTAAAGTACAGAATGCCGACAAAGTTTTTGCATAGCCAGTCTTAAGTCATCCGCCATAGTACCAAAGTCCTGAAGTTGTGAAGGTTTTGGGTTATTATTTTATATATTAGTACATATGACCAATACCCTGCAGGTTTTGCGTAGCTATTCTTAAACTCTTTGCCATAGCACTAATACCATGTATACCTTTATATCTTACAGGTCCAGTGTCCTTTTAAGGGTGAAACGTAGGCTTTCCTGCAATAACATTTCCAAATCTACTTATTAAATGGGCATTTGATGTGATTTGAACCTAGATGTTCCTGCTACCACTTTAAGACCCTGTCATCATACCAAAACTCCGATATTATGTTGAGAGACGAAGGTTATATTAAAAAAGGGTAAAATGCTTCCATCCCCTAGACATTTTTAATATGAACCCTCAAAATGGCTAAGTCAAAGGTGAAAAATCATCTACTTTTTTTAAGCTTTTCTGCATCCCCTTTTCCGTTTTTATTTACAAATAATATCCTTCTTTTTCTTCTCCCTTCCCTCCCAGACAGCCCCCTTTGTACATCTAATATTTCCAAAATTTCTTTTTCCCCCCTTCTTTTATCGTAGCAATCTTGCTCTCCCTTTTAGTCTTATATCTTATTATTCCCATTTACCTTGTATTTACTCTCACTAATTATTCTTTTTTGCTTTCCTTATTTGCTAATTTATATTTCTCAAAAAAATTCTCATTTTTACACTTCTGCCAATTTGTATTTACTCTCTTTAACAGACATTCTGCCACCTTAGATTCTCCAAGGATTTCTTTAGCCATCTTTTTAATACAACAAAAGATGTTATTGCACATAAATAGTAGTATCATCTACTTCCAGATATCTATAATCTATCTTTAACATCTTGTACTCAAAATGCACTAGTTCCTAGTCCTGTGTTCATACTAGTTTTTCTCCTCCATTTCTTAATGCAAATGTTTAATGCCAACAGCTTCGGTACTCCAAAATATAATTTCTGGAGTGCTGATGGCACTTTTAGTAAATAACATCCGCACTTAACGCTCTCTAAGTTTCAACTAATGTCGCTGCGTTAGAGATTCTACTTCCACGGTCAACTTCATAATTTATTTAAGTTCCAGTGGTATTTGCAAAAGTTTATCCCCCTTCATCTATTTCATCAGTTTTTCTGATTGCTAGCCAGCAATTGGTACTTGATCACCGAAAAAATTATTAATCATAAATTACCAAGTATGCCATCAATTCCACCATTACGCATTGCACCTTTGTGGTTCCGTTCATAAAAAATCTGTCAAGATTTAGTTTTCTTTTAACTTTTGTGTTTTTGGTTCAACAAACCAATGGGTAAAAAAGAACGGAGATGTAAAATTGTTACTAGATTTTAGTCTCTTTATGTGAAAGAAAATACATGGGATTTGATTTTTCCCCCCCTCGAAAGGGGCTTCATTTGTATTTACAAGGTGTAAACATGAAGACAGAGGTCTGGATCCAAAGGGGTTTGAAAATAAAACTGAGATAAAAGAAATCCTTAAATCTTGGATTAATTCTCGATTGCCCTTATCCTCTTAAAAATAAATGGTTATAAAGGACACTCTAAAAATTCAGAGGCATTGCAATTCCAGATCGCAGAGGAAAGAGCAATGTCAGATCTACTCTCATGAGGAAGGAAGGCACAGAAATTACAATACTGCCCTCTAAATAAAAATTAAATAAAAACTAAATAATATCCTATTTTTGTTGCATTGAAGCAGCCCCCATGTTTAATATCATCAACTCCTATGGTATGTCAGGCTCCCTCTTGGTACAATTACAATCTTCGTATGTTTAGCTATTCGTCCTTCTATAGTAAGGGAAAATATGTACATATATTGTTTAATTCACACTTAAATGTTATCAAGTGCTTATCTCTCTTTTTAAAATACGTATTTTCTCTCATAAGATCATACAACTTACAAAATAAAAACTATATCTCATGTTTTCATCTCACATCTATCATTACCTTTGGCAAAATGCCTTTTAAGATCTCTTACAGGTTATTTTTCTCCTAGAATTTCCTGAACCAATTCATCCAAGTTTTCCCAAAGTTCCCTTTAATATTCTCAGACAATCCTACTTTGAGTGCATAAGAACTGAAAATATTAATTATATCTACGTCTAATATGATCTTTATTAGTATTACTCTATCTCCAATTCATTGTGCATCTCCAACATTATCTTATAAGTGTTATCAATAAGTATTATCACATCTATTCCTCTCATTTTATGTATACGAAAGTTTATACTCAGTATTCTCAATCTCTCTAGATTTTTTACCTACCAGTTTAGTTTCCTGGAAATGAATTATCATCTTTCTTCCACTCAAAACATTTGTTACCTTCATTATCTTTCATGTAATGTATATAGTTTCCAAATAGATAATGGCTAAGCTAATTTTATGCTCTGTATGAGCCTCTAACCTTCTCTTTTATAGTCTCTCTCTTTCTATTTGACACCATATTTGAGGACCAATGTGACACCAGAAAATCACCAATTAGAGACAAAATAAGATTCATATAGCAACCCGAAAATTTTGTGAGAATGGAATTTTCCTTGTTGTCATCACCATCAGTTATATTATTGCTGTCTCTTATGCTCTGTAATAGCCTCCAAACCTCTCTTTTATGGTTCTCTAGTCTGTCTCTTTCTATTTGGTACCATATTTGAGGCCCAATGCGACACCAGATAATCAACAATTAGAAACAAAATAAGATTCATATAGCGGCCCGAAAATTTTGTAAGGAAGGACTCATCACCATCACTGATACTATTACTGGGTCTATAGAGTGCACATGATCATCCTATTGCATATCTAGAACGGAAATTAAAATATTATAAGCATTAAGGAGCAACAAACGTAAATTCATAGATCTTACCACATCTTCAATTTCAGATATCTCTGACCCTATTGATGCTGGAGATGTGTCTGGTTGTGCAAGTCGGGCATGAACTGAATCTTCAAGTAATTTGTTCTTTGTTAATAATTCATCAACAACCTTTTCTTTGGCCTGTAATTTAGCTCCCAGTTCTTGCATTCTGGATTTGGAAACTTCAACTTCATTATATGAACTTATCATCAGTCTTTCCAACACTGGTAGGAATCCATTAGTAGAGGACGGTTTCTGATCTTCTGATAAATTATTCCCCCCGAACCTTCGTATTATCTTCTCTAAACCAACTGTCAACTCAATCAACTCCAATTTTTTTGATTCCAGATCCTGATAATTCATACCAACAGTTTCAGCAGCCTTGTTCTGATGTTCAATTTCACGAACATGGGAATCAAGAATCAACTGCATATCCTCCTTTTCATAAGTCAAGGAAGCTACCCTATGCAACAATTCAGGGAACTTATCTAGAACATAAATTAGCTTGTCCACAGGGCTTGAGAAATGAACTTCTTCAATATGTGACTCACTAAAAGGAATCACCATGTTATTTACTTTGTCAATAACGGCCACCAATTGACCTTCTGAGAAAAGACTCTCATCAATCTCTGGAATGAAAAAAGAGTGTTAAAAAAGGAAAAGGAAAAAGTCAAATAAAATGGGACAGTGTAGATTCTGAATATAATCCAAAGCATTAGTTACCTTTGACTTTTGCAGTCAAAGCATTTTGCAAACTTGAAAGTTCTGCCTCTTTATCTCTCAAGATATCCTCTTTTACCTGCTTATCCTGTATTTTAACTTTCATCTCACTACAAACTTTTTGCAAATCTTCAAGATCCCTCTCCAACTTTAAATGTCTCTCTTGGCTTAACTGCCTGTCCTGAATAGCAGTTTCAGCAGTTAATTCTGCTTGTTTTAATTTGTTCTTCAAATCATTCATTGAAGCCAACAAGGCTCTATTGACCCTCGTCAACTGCTGAGCTTGAATTCTGATTTTTCTGGAAGCTAATAATAAACTCTCTGCTGCACTAGCATGTTCCCCACCTTTCCCCTCTTCTTGTCTACGGCCAACAGCTTCAATAGATCCTGAATCCAGGCTGGACTTTAGTATGTCATCCTCAGGGTACAACTCTAATAAATATGTGAATTCAGATCGCAGCCCTTGACTAGCATCTTGGCATGCAGAAAGAAGATTCACCATCTCTTTCTCCAAGGACGACATTTCTGCCGCTTGTTCTTGGTTCTCAGCTTCCAATTTATTTACAGTTACCTTCAAGGACTCACCAAGGTCAAGCATGTGAATAAATTCACTGCTTATCGCCTGCAAAGCTTGCAATACAACTGTGATATAGTCGTCAGTGTATCTAGATAAACCTTGGAACCTGTTGCCAAGGACTTCTGCTTGATATTGGAGCCTCTCAACAATGTTAGATAAGGCTGCATCATCATCAAGATCCTCTGTACTAATCTTGCTATTGTATATTTCATCGTTAATAAAGTCCTCAAAATTTAAAAGGGCAGAAATTTTTGCAAAATCAGGAAGCTGCAGCATATTACAGAGGCACATGGGTGTCAGTAGCAACTAGCAAGTATATGATTAATTACAAGGAAAGAATGCATGCTACACTACAGCAAAAAAATAAATCAATAACTTGAATAGCAGAGTTTGACTTTTCAGCGTTAATTGAAGTAAACGGGCATATAATTCAGAAAGATAGCTTGCAGAACATCATAGCCATTCATTCGTTCCATAATATTTTACAAGTTGAGATTATTTACATGACTTGAACATGTTAAGCTTTAGTTCTCCCATGAAAGTAGGAAAACATGCCACAAATATGTCTCAATAAATTTTAATCTTGTTTCCTGGTTTGATACGATCATATTAGTTGGAGTCGAGCTTGTGAAGATCATAATAATTATATGAATCTACATGCTATGATGATCTCTCTTTAAGATTTCCCAAAGACTGAACAGAATATAATTAACATGTGAAGGTGTACTTAGACCCTTGTTTTGACTGGTAACTTATAAAAGTTCTATTTTCAGTTAAAACCTCATTCCTTGTCTTCTGTCCAAGAAAAAGATAACAGTGGAGTTTGACAGAAAATATGTGGGGACCTCGATTTGAACTATTTAATGTTCATATCCAAATGCAGTTCTCCAACTACGAAAAATTCTATATGTGGTCAAACATGACTGTCTAATACATACGCATTTACATCACAAATACTATCAAAAAAGACAATATATCATGAAGCTCAAACAGAAAATTTTTGTAAAAATATTGATGAAACTTTATACCATATATTACACGCAAAAATAAATTATAATACATGTCAAGAAAATATGAGCAAGCTTCGTAATCAATCACTTATCAAGGACCATCAACAGATTGTAAGTACATATACTGTAGAAGAAAATGAAATGTTACTGGGATAAAAAGTTACAAATGCTCATATGCACAAGAAAGAAAAATAAACAAATAAAATGATGTTGTAAAAAATGACTAACTTTAGTCATTTACCTTTCATTTTCAAAAAAGATGTAACAGTCCAAAAGATCAGCCTACTCTAATCCTTTTGTATGTAACCATATTTCTCACATCTCTATTAACAACGAATATGATTGTATTTATCAAACTTTGCCCGTATCCTAAACAAATCCATGACTAGTATACGGATACAAATATGGTAAATTTCATATTAGATCTGTACCTAATCCATTTGCACCCCCACTTATAAGTATTATATGTTAACAATGCAAAAGCAGAAGAAATATAGAAGGAACGAAAATTGTCAGAAACGAGAGAAAGAAACATAGCAAGCTGTAAGCTAATGGCACCTACCTCAAAACCAGTATGAATATGCAGTCCCTTTGCACTAAACTGTCCATGCAAATCCTGTAGTAGAATCTGTATATGTCTCAGACCCTCAATCTTTTTCCTGAACTCTTCAGACATTAAGGAGAATAGGCGTTTATCCTCGATAAGCATCTTAAGACCCCCAAGGTGACTAACCAGCTCTTCTGACTGGTTTTCTAAATTGCTTCTGGTTGCCGCCAATTCTTTCATGCAGTCTGTCAACTTGGTATTTAATGCACCTATCTGCTGTTGGCTTTTGGATTCGGTTTCATATTTTTGTGCTTCAAGATTTGAGATACTGTTAGATGCTTGTGCTAACGCATCTTCCAGCGACCTTATAGTTGCATAGGCATCTTCTATCTTTCTAGCCTGCATAAAGCTTTGCTCTTTAAGTTCCTTCAGCTCTTGTTCAGTATTCATTTTACCAAGCTGCTCCTCTAAGGACCTTATAGTTGCATAGGCATCTTCTAACTTGCTGCCTTGCATAGAGCTTACCTCTTTCAGTTTCTCTAATTCTTGTTCAATATTCAGTTTAACAAGTTGCAAATCCTGCTTCTCCTGCACAATATTGTCTATATGCTTTTCGGCTGTAGTTAGCTCGTCCTTTAGTGTGTCAATAGTTGCAAGTGCATCAGCTAACCTATTAGCCTGCAAAGCAGCTTCAGATTTTAGTACCTCGTGCTCCTGTTCTCTATGAGCCTTGGCAGCTTCTGACTCATGGATGTGTTCTGCAATCCAGTACAACTTATCAACAGGCTTTTCAAAGGTTCTATCAGTAGGAAGAGCAATATCTTCTATAGAGTCCATCAAAGTCTGTAACATGCTATTGCTTTCCAGAAGAAGCTTTTCATTTTGCTCCATCAGATCCTTCAAAGAAACAATATCAGACTCCAGCTTTTGAATTTGTTCTGGATAAGAAGACAAACTTTTGATCTGTTCTTTATACTCAATTATAGAAGATTCCTGGTGCTGGAGCTCCTGATTTAGCTTTTCAATTTCAGAATTTTTTTCATCAAGTGAATGTTTGAAACCTTCACGTTCTTGCACCAGACCCTTTCCTTTCTTTACTGCTAATGACAGTTTTTCCCTGATTAAGGAAGACCTCTCTTCCACCCGGTCAAGTTCTTTTTGCAAGGCTTCTTTTTCGTTTCTCAAAGTATTTACTTCTTCTGATGCTCTTCCTAACTCATTTGAAAGGGTCATTACTTCCGATCTAGCAACTGTCTCTTCTTCTAATATATTACTGTATAACATTTGTTCTTGACTTTTTATGTACAGTGAAATTTGCATCTCTTCGAACCTCTCTCTTTCAGAAACAATTTTTTTCATTCTTTCACGGACAGTACTGAAGCAGTTCTCAACCAACAGCTCTGGGTCAAAAGACAGTGCATCAATGGAAGTACTTGCACATGGCCCTGCCACTTCCATCATCACAACGTCCTTCTCAGAAAAAATTGAAGACAACTTCTCAGCAATCTTTTCATATTTGTACTTGAGGTCATCATGTGCACCTTGAACAGAATCTTTTTCCCGTTTTACTTCCGAAAGGGATGCTGCCAGGTGGTCAAGTTCCTTCTGTGCTTCTGACAACTCTGATTCATGTGATGCCACAGAAACGCTGGTGCCAGAAATTTCTTCTTGCAGCTTAACTATATCCTCCTTAGCCTGGGAAAATGATTTCACAACCCATTCAATTTGTGAATCTAATTCAGCAGATGAAAGGGATTCAGGAAGACCAACGGTAGACAGGATATCTTGGACTTTGCTGCTCACCATAAAAAGTGCATCTGATTTATGTTTATGGTTGACAAACCATTTTACTCTATCAACAACTTCCATGTTGAGCAAGTCGTCTTGGATATCGGAATGTTGCATTATTTCTTCTATTTCCTGAAGAACCTTCTCCTTTTCTGAAAGTGAGGCCTGAAGAGAATTAGCCAAATTTTGGGCATTTATCAGCTCCTCAGTACTGACTATAGAGGTCTGAAGGTTATCAGACTTCTGTTGCAAATCTATCTGGCATTTCTCCAGCTCACTGATCTTCTCAGCTAATGAAATCTGCAGCTCCCCGACAATAGCTTCAGAGGTTTGTACTTGCTGGAGGCAATTCTCAAGCTCCGAGGTCTTCTGAGATAACGCATCTCTCAGCTCCTCACCACTGATTTTGCTAGCCTCTAAAGCATCAGATTTCTGTTGCAACTCGAACAAACACTTTTCAAGTTCATTATTCTTATCAGTCAAAAAGTGCTTCAGCTTCTCGCAGTTGGTTTCAGTGTTCTCCAGGACATCAGACTTCTGTCTCAGTTCCAGAGAACACTTATCAAGCTCGCGAATCTTTTCGGCCAATGACTGTTTCAGCTCCTCAGCAATAGCTTCTGTATTGTCCAAGGCTTCGGACTTCTGTTGCAGCTCTAGCAAGCACTTCTCAAGTTCACTTGTCTTCTCAGATAATGACTGATTAAGTTCGAAAGAAACAGTTTCAGCAGTCTCTAACGCAGTAGACTTCTGTTGCAAGATAAGCAAACAATTCTCCAGCTCATTTGTTTTCTCGGCCAATAGCTGCTTCAGCTCATCGATACTGGTTGCTGAGGCTTCTAAAGCGCTAGACTTCTGTTGCAACTCCAGCACACACTTCTCAAGGTCATTCGTCTTCTCAGCTAATGATTGCTTCAGTGCATCACGATGCTGAACCAATGATTTTCCCTTTGTCACTGCAATACTAAGCTTTTCTCTGGCAGCTGCCAACTTACTCTCAGCTTGTTCAAGGTCCGTCTTAGATTTGTTAGTTTCAGCATGGGCTGCTTCCAAGCTTTCTCTCATCCTATTTACTTCTTCAGCCAATCTCCTGTTTTCATCTACAAGCTCACTTATTTTCTCCAACAGAGAAGCTTCTCTTTTCTTTCTTCCAAGTAACTCCTCAGAAATGGCACTAAAAACATCAACGAATTCATTTTTTTCTGTGGTTAACAATTCAGGCCTTGTCTCTGCCATAAACTGCCGAAGATGATCAGTCTCGGATAACAACTGTGTATGTTTTTCTATCAAAGACAAGGTCTTCTTCTCAACAAGTGAAATTCCATCACCAACAAAATCTTCAAAGGAAGACCTTTCTTGCCCCGTCACCGCTTCAAGGGAGGTTAACAACCTGTTGCTAACTTCATTTGATGATTCTTTCAATGAGTTGGACCACATTTCTTGAACAGAACCCAAGTAAGAAGTGATAACATCTTGGCACACATTAGACTCTGCAAGTTTCAAATTGAGGTCTTCCACCTCTTGTTCTTTAGCATAAAGAGCTGTATTTAGACCCTTAATAGTATCCTCTGAATTCAACTGCTCGCCAAGTATACTTTTCAAATGAGATAACATCTTGGAGCAATCATTTACCATAGCATGCAACGGCGTAGGCGACATAAAAGCTTCCTCCTCACCTCCTCTTCCTATCTGATGAAGATGCTCAACTGATTCTTTGTTGCTTGCACCAGACAATGATCGCTGCTCAAAAATGTCTTGTAGTTGATGGAGGAGGCTGGATACTTCTCTCCCGAAAACCTCCCTTTCTTCCTGAAGCAAACACATGTTTAAACTTAATTTCTCATAGTCTCATTCATTTGACAAATGATTTTTTGGATAAAAGAAGAAACTTATGGCTCTTCACATGTTGTCCGTTAAACTTGCAATCTTTTTATCCAAAGGAACGAGGGTTCCTCGACACTATAGAATTAAAGTACAGGGTAAATAAGTCAGGGAAAGGCTTATTACCATAATACATTGCATGGACATGTTCGCTTGTGATAGAGTGAGTAAAGAGAAACTTTCAAGTAGCATTGGCAGAAGCCTCAAAGGACTATTCAACATGTTTGTGGATTAAGATGACATGAATACAAACTTCACCTTCATCATGTTTAACATTGTTTAGAAAGATGCATTTTGGCTTGTACATAAACAATTAACCATTAATTTATTGGAAGCTGATGCCTAGTGAAGTCATATATAGGGACAGCTAGCTACTTTTCATTAGATTGCTATTATTTCTGGTCTTTATCAGTATTCTCGTTAACTTGTGGGGTTTTTTTGTGATAAATCCACTTTCAAGCATTTAATCTACTTAGACTAGAAGAAGGTCTCAATCTATAAGTCCATAAGTAAACTAGTCTGAAGTTAGAATTAAACTGACTGATGCAATCAACAGTGTCATCAGCTATAGTGTCATCAGGTGAAAATTTCTCTATACAACCTAAACATTCAAGTATTATTAAGCAACTACATATAACAAATAACATAAATCAGACCTTATATTTCCTGCATTGAGCTTGTGTCTCATCCAATCGATCCCTCATCCGAGCAATCTCATCCTCCACCGACCTCGGCCTCGAACTCAAGCTCTCTGCTGAACTCTCCCCATACTCAATCACCGCCACCGACTCATCTAACCCCGTGCTGCTCCGGGCACTCCCCAGCTCCTCTGGTGCATCAACAAACAGATCCTCCCTCCCCTCATGCATAGAACCATCAATATTTACAAGAATGCCACCATCTGTTTCCCCCTGCATCTCTCTAGCATCCTGAGGCGCACCAAAGACGAAATTTTTACATCAAAAGCAGACAGAAAAAAGGCTATTTGCACTTTAGTACCCCAAAGTTTCACCCCACTTCAACTTTGATATCCTGAAGCTCTAGTTTGACAATTCGATACCCCAAAGCCCTAACTTTGTCTCTAACCTTTCTCCTAACTCAAAAAACTGAAATTTAGTACGATTTTTTTTTCCTTGTTAACTTTTCTATTCTGATGTTCTAAAATAAAAATTAACGTCAACTTTTTAGCACTTCAGGTATCAAACAGTCAAAATAGAACTTCATGCATCAATTAAAGCACAAAATAACCCCAAAAAAACAAGGAAAGAAGCTAGATTCTAGGGTTTAGTAGAAAGTACGTGATCTGGATTGCTGGGAATCTCAACAAGGACGCCGTCGCTGGAGGTGGACTCGTCGGAGGACTGATGAGCGTTGCTCTTGCGCTTGCGATCTTCTTCCTCCTCGCTGCTGCTGCTGGAGCTATTGGATTTTGTCGATTTTGGGGAATCCGAATCCGATGAGCTCGGCGCCATTGCTCAGATCCGAGAAGGATCCGAGATCTGATTGACAGAAATTAGAGAAATTTGAAGGGTTCCTAGGGTTTGAGAGGGGATCGTGGAGAATGTTGGAGCTGAGGCCAAGGAATTTTTAATCAAAAAGAGAAAGATTTGATGAGAAATTGGATCGAAGAAGAAGACGACAGTTTGCGAGCTTCTTTCACACTTGGTTCGGGTTTGGGTGGATCTAATAAAATCCAGTTGGAGATCCGTGACAAGGGTTGGCAAACGGTTGGGTCGGGTCGGGTCATAGTTGACTCAACCCGTATAAGTATGACCCGATCCGACCCGACCCATTTAATAAATTTGTCAATATGGTCCCACCCGTTTATTAAACGAGTTATCTGACCCGACCTGCTGCTGCTGGAGCTATTGGATTTTGTCGATTTTGGGGAATCCGAATCCGATGAGCTCGGCGCCATTGCTCAGATCCGAGAAGGATCCGAGATCTGATTGACAGAAATTAGAGAAATTTGAAGGGTTCCTAGGGTTTGAGAGGGGATCGTGGAGAATGTTGGAGCTGAGGCCAAGGAATTTTTAATCAAAAAGAGAAAGATTTGATGAGAAATTGGATCGAAGAAGAAGACGACAGTTTGCGAGCTTCTTTCACACTTGGTTCGGGTTTGGGTGGATCTAATAAAATCCAGTTGGAGATCCGTGACAAGGGTTGGCAAACGGTTGGGTCGGGTCGGGTCATAGTTGACTCAACCCGTATAAGTATGACCCGATCCGACCCGACCCATTTAATAAATTTGTCAATATGGTCCCACCCGTTTATTAAACGAGTTATCTGACCCGACCCATATAAATCAAATGACCCGTTTATCAAAACTCACTTTAACAAATAATATTTCGCCAATTTTATTTATCAAATTTGCCTTATAATTGTATAAATCACTGTAAGAAGAATCATAATTACAATTCCTAATATACAGAGACATTCCAAATCCTGGGAAATTATAATTAGACACCAACTATCAGGAGTATCAAAATAATCACTAAGGAGGAGGCCATTTCTGCAAAATTCTAACTTTTATACACACTGTAGATAAAACTAAACAAAATATGTGAGGCCAAGACAAATGAAAAACTCAAATCATGTTCACAATCGCCGGCGACTCTCGCCCTCAAGGTTTGCAAGATCTCGCGCTCCCATCGCAAGTCCTTAAGCTTCCTATCCTTCGTTGTTCCTTCTCCGTACCTAGAATCCTCTGGCCTCTTCTTCTCCACGTAACCCCTCGCTATCCGATCAATCGCCTCCGGATCGCTAGGCACGGCGACGGCGACGGCGCTCGCCTCCCCGAGATAACTGCCAAACACAACGTCGACAGAGGGGCAACCGTATTGGACGATCTCGTCGTCAGACTTGACGGCGACATCGGCGACTTTGGCGTCGGTGACGGTCGAGACGCTGCTGGCTTTGCGGAGAAGATCGGCGATCATGGCGTCGGCATCAGGACTACATCGACGAGTTGACGAGGTGTCCTTGGTTCTGTCGCTGTTGATTCTCTTCGGAGTCATCGGAGACTAGAGAATATACTGGGGAAATTTGGGGATTTTTTAAGGGATAATTTGATGCGGGAGGATTAAGAGGTCGGTGTTTGATAAATGGGTAAATACGGGTTAATCGGGTCAACCCGAATTGACTCATTTATTAAACGGGAAAATCTGAGTTGACCCGTTTATGACCAACCCATGTAATTCAACCCATACCCATTATAAATGGGTCGGGTTTATGGGTCGGGTCATAAATTATCACCATTATCTGTGTGGATGTATTGGATCTAACTTTGGATGCAAACCCGTTAAGAGAACTTAGACCGGGGCCGGGCCAGATCTACCCTTGCCCCTGGGGGGCAGTTGCATCCTTGAATTTTTAAATTTTGCAAATAGCCCTATTAGTTTTTTCGATCTGCACCTGCTATGATTTTAAGAATCGCACCCCAACTCATCTCTAATATCATACTTTATATCATATCATACTTCCTTTTAAAACACAAGTTCGGGAATATCTGTTGGTAGACAAAAAAACCATTGGAATTCAAATACTAATCCATTAAGTTAGAGTAAGTTGGTAAATTGATGAATTCTTATTGAATATACATAGTATGAAGATGATAATATAGTTTAAATTAAAATATAAACTTGAATGAAAACAAACATGATAGAATTATAAAAATTATATGCACTTGTAATTGATATTGTCTATTGAGTATAATATGTGGCGGTTGTAGTATTTGCAAAATCCACCAAACAAATTAAAGAAACAAAATCGTTCTCAAAATTATAAAAAAGAAAAACAAAACATAATATCCACATAGTATAAAGATAAGGATATAATTTAATTGAAATGCAAACCTGAAAGAAAACAAACGTGATAGAATTATAAAAATTTGTTTGCACTTGTAATTGATATTATCTATTAAGTATGCAGGATATGTGGCGGTTGTATACATATATTATCTGCAAAATCCACCAAACAAATTAAAGAGACAAAATCATTATCAAAATTATAAAAAAAGGAAAATAAAAACAAATGGCTTCGATCTGAGGACACAACGTGGTTCAAGCAGTTCACGGCACTGCATTATTAGTTTCAAAGTTTAATTATAATATTATTATTTAATTGAACTCTATTTACAGTTATTATCATCTCGCATGCAACATCACAAATCAATATATATAAGGTAAGAAATTACAATAATTTCCACACCACCTTCCATCTCCTTCTATAGGTACGTGCATTTATTATTTTCTTTTTGTTAGATTAGATTAAACTATTTTAAAATAATTAATTATATTGTATGTTTGATTTTTCTTTTCATATCAAAAAATAGCAATAATTTTCACAACATTTTCATCTATTTTCTTATTATTAGATTAGATTAGATTATTTTAAAGCACTTAATTATATTGCATGTTTGATCTTTTTTCAGATCAAGAAATTGCAACTATTTTTCATAGTACTTTCATCTCCTCCAATAGGTATGTGCATTTGTTAATTTTTCTAATTAGATTAAATATTTGACAAAGTTTATTATATTATTTTCTTTGTATAAAAATCAAAGAGAATCTCACACGTATCTTAAGGTTTCAATGCCAATTATAATACTTATATATGGATATTGGTTAAAATAAATTTCATGTATGGGTTAGCTTATATGAGCATACTTTAACAAGACTAGATAATTTAATATTTTTTCTTTACATCTGAACTCTTCCACAAAACCAAAAGAGAGTAGTAATACTATAGCTATATATATCCACAGGACCACATATATCTTGAAAATGAACGAAGAAAATCATACAAACAAAAAGCCATATTAATTACTCACATACACCCACTGTTTTCAAAACCACTCTTCTCCATCTCCATCTATAATATATCCACATCTAAACTCAACTTAAGCTGCTGGAGACTCCCCTCACCAACTATACTATTGATCAACCCTTCTTTTTTTCTTTATAAATAAATTATATAACATTCATTGCGGTGAGGACTCACCTGGGTCCTCCACCTTCCTTGAACACAAAATTAAAAAAAATACTAGACCTTGTAGTTAGTTAATAATGAGATCCTGTCACTATAAAAAAATTAAATAAAGATAAATAGTTCTTAAGAATATACTACGTTCCACTAGCTTCCACTGCAAACTTGTTAGTTGTTTATTCACGGCCCCGAGAGATTTTTAAAATTAATATTGAGGGTTGCTTACATTAAAAAAAGTTATGTTAGAGGGCCCATACAGTCTATTATATAGTTTAAAATTATCAACACATTTTATCTTTGATGCATATCAATTATGAGTAATAACATAATTTGATTGATTCAAATATATCTTAATATATTTATTGACTTTTGTTTTATCTTTTGTTCTTTATTATGTACAAACCCAACAATTCTTATTCAATTGTTTCTTCTTTCTTTTTTATCTCTTGACATTATCTTTTGTTCTTCATTATTATTCTTTGGTGTTGGACTTTATTATTTTAAGGAGTTAATTTCATGAAACCCCCCTAAAACTTTGGGTGTGTTGCACATAACCCCTAAACTTTGTTTATGTCACTTAACAACCCTGAACTATGTGAAGTGTCACATCCCCCCTCCCCCCACCCCTCTAACAAAAAAAAACTTTACCTTATGTCACGTAGTTCCCCTACTTGTAATTTTGCGAAAACTAATATTTTCTTGATAGCAAAACTTTAAAATATTAGGGGAGGGAGTATGTTGCGTCTAAACGACAAGTGACGAAGTTTGAGATTTTTTTCGCTCAAAAATATTTTAGTTATTTATAAATTATATGAATGTGGATTATGTGAGATAAGATAAAGTTCAGCATGATTTTGCGAGACACCCCATAGCTTAGGGGGTTTATATGGGATAAACATAGTTTAATGGGGTTATGTGCAACAACCCCTAAAGTTCAAGGGGGGTTGTGAAATTAACCCTTTTTTATAGATAGAAAAATAGGTTGGGTTGAATCTGGGCTCTAATAGAAAAGATCAAGGTTGTTTTTTGGGCTTCTAATTAGAATATCACAAAAACAAAAACCATTTACCCACCCACACAATCATAATGATTTTGTTATTCATGCTTGACTCCATATTATAGCTTGAGATTAGTAGAGTTTAGAATATGACATGTAGTATCAATTTAACTTATTTTTTTTTACTATTATGCTTTAAAATATTATTATGTCATTTGTTATATTTTTCTTAGGGAATCAATTAAGATATTCCAGCTAACTATATTGATACCAGTTTAACACAAAAATCCATTACATTACTTTTTTAATAATGTTTAAATAAAAATTATAGTAAATCTAATAATCAAAATAATTCTGATTTACTTTAATAACAAAATAAATAAATTATTTTGATATTCAACCACGTGTATTTTACGTGCATAAATAACAATATAAACACAAGGCATTAAGTAGTCAGCCGATCAACCAACGGTGACCAACCTAGCGCATCTAGTTATTCAGGCCAGAAATATAGTGCCCAGATAAACAATAAATAACGTAAACCCAAGACCGAAACCCAAACCCAAAGCCCAAGCCCAATACTAACTCCGCCAGCTGTCGCCGTGCCCCTGCCCCACCCCTTCTTTCTCTCAGGCTAGTCCAGAGACCCAAAATCCCCTAAAATTTCGAACCCTAACCCTCACCCAACTCCCATTTGCACCGCATCCACCGCCCAAGTTTGCCGCCGGACCTCAGGACCACTCATTGCCGCCCTGAGAATTTGAGTCGTACAAACATTGTCGAAAGTCAAATTGTGAGAATTGGCAATTAAATATTGATCTTCTACAAATTTTTTAGTGAACACAAAGTGTTTGCTTTATGAATTTGATTTTGATGTGTATCTGCTAATGTTATATGCTCAAATGTTTTAGAATCTATCCGCAATGTTGGCTTTTGTAGATAAACTTTTGCTAGCAAGTATATATCTTTTGATTTCATTAATGGAAGTAAACTACTAGTATGAATACTCAATTTTGTCTTTCTATCTCATCGCAGGTAAAATATGATGCAATGAACCTGCTAAAAGTCTTTCCACGAGTGAGAACATTTCCACCAGGTACTAGTGTTTTATAATATTAGATTTTATTGCAAAAGTTTAGGCATCTGTTAAATTTTCAATACGACATGGATGTGGATACTAATTCTAAGTCCAATATCTGTATTTGTATCCTAATGTTTGATGTATAGATTAAATAATGAAATTGATTAGCTTTAAATTAGTGGATTTGACATCAAAATTAGTGATAATGGAATCTAATATTAGCATTTTAGATACCTCAAATATATTGATGGACTCTGATTTTGTAAACTCTATTTTTTTTAGATAGGTCTTGCATCACAAGCATATATCTGACATTAGCTTTAGAATAATTTGCAATTTAGTGTCATAAAGTTGTCACTTTTTAAAAGTTAATTTTTTGACAATTTGATGCTCTATCCCTTCTCTTAAAATTTAGATGTTACGGATTATCCAATTTCAAAGGGAAGTTTGTCACTTTGAAGTGTCAAATATAAACTTCGTAGTATCAAAATCTAAAATGGCGACAACTTTATAAAATAGTCAAGTGTAGAAACAATACAGTAAAACTTAAAAGTGGAGATTAAATGTTAGCGTGGTTCTTATCAAAGTCGGAATTGATCAAAGTTAGGTTATCCTATATTCGTACTCTACTCGTGAAAAGTAGGTATCCATATCATATCCAATAACTCGCTTAATAAATATGTTAGAATCATGTTTTCAATTCCCAACCCCCGGTAACCCTCTTAAAAATTCAAATAGACAATATTTTTGTTAAAATAATAAATTAAAATATACATAAATACAAAGTTGGCCGCAATATAGTTAAATATTCACGATCCAATTATTCACGAGTATGAATCCTATCAAATCGCTCCAATTTTGAACCTGCTGACTGATGGACTAGGATAGTATTTCAATAATTTTTAGTATTCATGTCATGCCCTAGTTCCTAAACTATATAAGCTGGAACGTGGCTCGGCCGATAATGCAACCTTATACTCACAATCACGTCTCTAGAGCATTTTGTACATGTATATGTAACCAAAACTACACAACATAGCATATAACTAAGATAAAAAAGAAATATGTACTTGATAAGTAAAAAGATTTCCATAAAGACAGAGGTTCAGCTACATCTATCTATAGTGGAAAGGAGTAAGAAATACATCATAGTCTAGAAATTCCACATGTGTCTCAAATAAAAGTCTAAAATAAATAAACTATCTAAACAACTGAAGCTGAAGAAACGAATAAGGCAGGACGATGATCACTATTGCTGGGTCTGTTCCTCAAAATACTCTTGATCATGCGAAGAAAGAACAGTTCTCGAGTCTGGGATGCACAACCTCCAGGAGAGTTAGAAAACTCCTAACAAGCATGTAAAATGAAAAAAATGTTACACGGGTAGGTTTATGTGAAAGATATAAAGAAAAAAAATCAATCCTGCAGTGTTAGGATGACAACGAGATGATAAAACTACCTGCCAAATTATTCATCATGATGGCTAGAAATAAATGACACTAATTGGATGTGATTGATTAGAATAAACAAAAAGGATAGAAAATGCTTGCCGATTAATGAGTAAAAACACAAAATGCTGACTCCTAGCAAGATCCTTCTCCTCTTCCCACATCTCTTTGTTTCTGATTCTCTTCCATTATTTTGGGTATATTTTGTGAAGGCAGGGGAGACGGATAGCACTTAAAGGAGATATGACTGCAAGAGCTTAGGTTGTTAGAGATTTTCTAACCGTCAAATATTTCTCTTTTTGAGACTCTTTCCTTGAACGTGAAAAAATGGTTATAACAAAGCTCAAGTATCTAGGTGGCCCTTTGAGAATTTTTTGGTAGAGAGGGTGGAGAAACTCCGGAGCTGGTTAAGATAGGGATAACATGGTTTACTATCTAATATTTAAAAAGTATGGGCTCCATGACTAATTGGGCCTTCTAACAATTTATCACCACTTCCGATGGGCCTTTGCATACAAATTAGTAAACGTATCAGCCCAACAAAGCATTGTACAAAATTTGGATATTACAATTCATATATGTTGATGTGAGGAAATTAATGTGTGGTTTAGGAGAGCTAAGGATGATTTTGGGGTTCCTTAAATCTCCTCTGATGGCTGTTTATTTTGAAGGTGTTGAACTATAGCTCCCTGCACAGAGTAACATAAGTTAGATGCTCTGGAGGTTGTTCCCTTCGGCGTGCTCTCCGATGTTCAAGTTAGTGACTAGTTTGATAATCTGAAGAGAAAAACAGAATGTAGTCTTTAGGGTTTTTTGCTCATATCTTAGAATAGCAAAGGTGATGCTATTTATAGGAATTTTGTGAGGGTATTATGGTAACCTGACCGACTAGTTGATCTGATATCGTACCGTCACTTACACGTGTCCGCAGCTGATCAGTCGGAGCCGGAGAGCTGTACTCATTGCATTTAATACAATGGTGATATAATGGCGGGAATGTGGGCGTTTTCCGAGGAGTTATTATGACGCCTAACCATGCATTAAATGCGAGGGTGACTATGTGGCAGAGTATGGTTGCCGACCTGTTTTGCATTAAATGGAACTCTGTTGACAAGACCATTGCTCATTCCTTACTTCGAACCTTCCCCCATTGAATCTAACCTAAAGACGACTTTCGACGTAGCCTAGAATCAACTGGTAGATCTTGTCTTAAAATTGTCTTTCATTTCGGAATCATATCACATAGATGAGTTGGCCAACTTACAGCTTAGACCCGGATCAGACATGTTAGCCACATATTTCGTCTTAAGTATACTACATGGCCAGTTTAAGGACATGGTATTTTGCAAGGTATAATAATATATGATAAAGATTGCTCCCCACCATGAAGTGTTCTGTTAGAAATCATATTCATTATTTGCATTAGGTGGGTTGCCCCTATTTTCAACGCTTACCCCGAATATGGTTTGAATTGCCCCGACTTAGGACCCATTCGCCAACCCTTTAATGCACCCTAGTCTCTCTCTCTCTCTCTCTCTCTCTCTCTCTCTCTCTCTCTCTCTCTAAAAAACTAGAGTTTTGAGTGGACACAAGGGTTCGATTAGAGACTATAGTGTAAGGGTTTCAGTTTCGATTTAGTTTCGATTTTACGGTGTAAGACCTCTTAGCTGCTTATTTTACTAAAAATTTCCATAATATTAGATTTATCTCCTTCTCATTTTTAAGCATATTATTTGTTTATATTTGTGGATATATCGATCTTTCTAGGGTTTGTCCTTGAGGTGTTAGAAGTTGTGAATTTCTGTATAGTTTAAGATTATACAAGAGCGAGGGTATTTTAGAAACTTAAAAGAAAAATCTCTTTTGCTTAGATTTTATTGGCATGTGGTAATCATTTTCAAGTATTTTAGTTCGATACTTAGGGAGTTGATATATTGGGAAAAGGACATACCCACTTTTCTTAAGAACATGTATGTGGAGAACTAAACAAACAAAACGTTCATTCACCTAATAATCACTGAACAAGTCAGAATTTCCTTAATTTCTTTATGTTTATGGCTTATATTAGTTTGAGATATTATCTTAATTATTGAATATGGAGGGAAATTTTTTCTTTGTTGGGTATTGTTATTTGATGTGCTTGTGTGCATCTATAGACCAACATTTTTGAATATATGCTAATCAATAATGCCTCATAGTAACTTTGTATAAGATCTTGATACATCTATCCGGAACTTATATCTGATTGAGAGCGCTAGTTGGCTGAATGGGTTTTTATGTGATATAATACATTTGTAACTAATGGTTTTGTAGCCCATAATTTTTAGTAAAACTTAACTATCCATTGAAATCGGCTTGAAGTTTGTCTCAGTTATATCTCAGTTTTTTAGATATGTCTATTTCTAAGGCGGATATGCAATATGGAAACCACTGATTGGTTTATACTTTCTTCTTAATCTTTTGGAAGACAATTTTATGCTATTTAATTTGATTGCTTGTAGATCCAAAGCTTATGAATATCTCTTATTTCCTACGTTTATTAGAATATATCTACAATCTATATCTATATTACATGGGTATGAATGCGAGTATGGACGTAGCCGCAAGTGCGGGTGTGAATATGGAATAACAAATTTGTAAAAGGTAGAATACAGAGACACTACTGTATATATACATATTGAATTGAGTAATTTACATGTTATGAAAGCTAAAATTTCTATAACATTTTTGTGTTTCATTTATTAAGTAGATTATACATTGGGAAAACACTCGTTTGTTTAACTAGATGCCTAGACGACCATTTAAAATCATACTTCTAAACATAGTATATGATAAAATGAACCTGGTCCATGTCATGTGAGTTCTTGGAAGTGGACGAAATTTAAGATATACATCCAATAAGTGGTTGATGAGTATTTTAGACTCATATATTATATAATTGACACTGTTATAAATAGCGGTAAATAGCGCCGCAATAGAGGTACTAATAGCGTTAGCGGTCCCTTCCCGCTACGCTATCGTCCAATCACGGTGATATATTGCGGAATATGCGCTTTCCACTCGCAAAAACGGCCAATAGCTCACCATAACGGTGAATAGTGGACGATTGCAGGTAAAAATTGCTTTTTGATCATTATTTAAAAGCGGTTTGAGGTTTATTTTTAAAAAAATTAAACCCGACCAATAACGACTACATCCCACCGCCTCCCACGATTACCGACGCATTCTCACCACCTCCCACAGCCTCCCGTACCTACCTCAACCCTTCCTCTCACCCTCTCGCCGTGAGCTCCTCATACTGCAGTCCCTCACCGTTCAACTTCTCTTCTCGAAGATGACGACCCTTTTGACTCCTCTAGTTATCTTCGGTATTATGTGATGGTTACATGTCTGTTTCATATTTAGGATCTCTTTAAATCATCAAATATGCACTTTTAGATTTTCTAGATTTTCATATTTTTTTGAATATTTATACATATGTAAATTAGACTGTTATTTGACTTTGCACTTTTTACTGCTATTTTACAGCAATAGCCCCAAATAGCCTTAGTGATGCCTCATCACTAC